TTTCTAACTCATTGAGACTTGTTTTGTGATCCAGAATATGATTTGTCTTGATAATTGTTCTGCATTACTTGAAAAGAATGTGTTTTGTTGTTGGATGGAGTGATCTACAAATGTCAATTCAGTAAAACTAGCTGATAATGTTATTCTAATATTCTACATCATTAATGATATTCTGTGTTCTTGTTCTATCAATTATTGAGAATGAGTATTGAAATCTCTGACTATAATCAGAGTATTAAAATTTTAAATAATAACACACCACATACCAAATGCTAATGAAGATGCAGAGGTGGAAATGCAAAACAGTTTGGCATCTCTTATCAAGTTTAAGTACACTTTCCATACAATCCAACAATTCTGCTTCTAGAATGCTTACTCAACAGAAATGAAAACAATGTTTACAGCAGCTTTATTTATAATCACCCAAAACTGAAAATGACCCAAGTGTCCCTTAGCTGTTGAATGGACTAACAAATTATGAGGAAGTCATACAGTGGAATAATACTCCGCATTTTAAAAGAGTGAACTACTGATACATTCAACAACATATATGATTCTCAAATCCATTACACTAAGCAAAAGTTAGACTTCACTCAAAAAGCTCAAAAGGCTACATACTGTATGATTCTGTTTATGACATTATGGAAAAGGCAGAACTATAGAGACAAAAGGGATCAATGGCTGCCAGAGGACAGGAGAAATAAATGGAATTTACTACAAGAAGACACAAGGTAACTTTTTGGGAGGATGTCTATATCTTGATTTTGATGGCAGTTACACAACTCTATGCCTTTGCCAAAAGTATACAGTATATAGAAACTATATACTTTTAAAAGGTGAATTTTATTGTATGTAAATTATACTTTATAAACCTGAATTTTTTAGGGGGAGGGTTGGAGTCTCACTCTGTCACCCAGGCTAGAGGGCAGTGGCATGCTCTTGGCCACTGCAGCCTCGATCTGCTGGGCTCATGCGATCCTTCCGCCTCAGCCTTTCAAGTAGCTGGAACTACAGGCAGGCGCCACCATGCCCGACTAATTTTTTTTAAATTTATTGTAGAGATGAGGTCTTGCCAAGTTGTCCAGGCTGTTCTCTAACCCATGGGCTCAGGCAACCCTCTCACCTCGGCCTCCCAAAGTCCTGGCATTATAGGAGAAAGCCATCGCACTGGCCTGATTTTTTAGGCAGTCAAGCTTCTAAAAGATAACACATGTACAAGAGGGCCCCGATAAGACTATTGATGGATTTCTAAGCAGAAACCTTGGGTCAAAAGGGAGGGGATGATATATTCAGCATGCTGAAAGAAAAAAACTGCCATCCAAAAATACTACATCCAGGAACACTGTCCTTTGAAAATGAAAAAGAAATAAAGATTGTTCCAGATAAACAAAAGCTAGAGGAGTCCATCACCACTAGACCTGTCTTTTAAAAAAAAATGCTAAAGGGATCCCTTCAAGTTGAAACAAAAAGATGCTAGACAATAACACAAGAGTGTTCGAGATCCGCCTGGGCAACTTGGCAAGACCTCATCTCTACAATAAATCAAAATGAGCCGGGTGTGGTAGCGCGCGCCTGTAGTTCCAGCTACTTGGAAGGCTGAGGAGGAAGGATCGCCAGAGCCCACGGGTTCGAGACCCGCCTGGGCAGCGAGACCTCATCTCTACAATAAATCAAAAAAAAAATCAGCCGGGCGTGGTAGCACATGCCTGTAATTCTGGCTACTTGGAAGGCTGAGGCGGGAGGATCGCCAGAGCCCAGCAGGTCGAGGCTGTGGTGGCTGGGAGCAGCCACTGCACTCCAGTCTGAGTGACAGAGTGAGACTCCAACTCAAAAAAAAAAAAAAATTGGCTGGGCATGGTAGCATACACAAAAATCAACCTAAAAGGTATTAAAAATGTAACATTAAGACCTGAAACTACAAAACTCCTAGATGAAAACACGTGGGAGACATTTCCTAACATTGGTCTGGCCATGATTTATTGGGTATGACACCAAAAGTACAAGCAACACAAGCAAAACAGACACAGGATACATCAAGCTGAAAAGCTTTTCACAACAAAAGAAATGGTCAACAGAGTGGAAAGGCCGCCTACAGAATGGGAGAAAATGTTTTGCCAGTGTAGACCATATATCTGACAAGGGGCTAATATTCAAAATACCTAAATAATGCCCACAACTCAGTAACAGAAGTAACTGATTTGTAAATGAGCAAAGGACTTAAACATTTCCTCAAAGACATACAAATGGCTACCAGACATATGAAAAAAATGCTCACCATCACTAATCATCAGATAGATGCAAGTCAAAACCATAATGAGGTGTCATCTCACACCCATTAGCATGGTTACTATCAGAAAAAAACAAACACAGAAAAAAGCATGTACTGGTAAAGATGTGGAAGAATTAAAACTTTTGTGTGCTGATGATGAGAATGTAAAATGGTCACACTACTACTGAAAACAACGTGGGACTTCCTCAAAAAATAAAAAATAGAAATATCACATGATCCTGGAATACCCTTCTGGGTATTTATCCAAAAGAATTAAAAACAGGATCACAAGGAGATGTCTGCACTCCCATGTCGACTGCAGCACTGTCGACAATAGTCAAGAGGTGATCACAGCCTAAAAAGAGGTGGTATCCACCAAGGATGAATGGATCAAGAGAATGTGCTGAATACATGCCAACAGAATGCTATTCAGCCTTTTAAAGGAAGAACACACAAATAAAAGGCTGCCACATGCTACAACATGGATGAACCTTTAAAAGCAGTATGCTCAATGAAACAAGCCCGTCACAGGAAAGATGCTGCAGGATTCCACTATCTGAGGTATCCGAAGCAATCGAAGACACAAAAACAGAGGGTTCAACGGTGGCTGCCAAGACTGGGTGGTGGCATGGAGAAAGTAGTCATTCAATGGGTAGAGTTCCAGTCACGCAAGAGGAAACAGTTCCCGGGACTGGCTGTCAAACAGTGCGATGGTTGCAGTGGGGGGTGAAGGGAGCCCCTAGACGGCTGGTTTCAGGCTCTTTAATTGACACATTGTGATGTACATACTATTTATGGGATACAAGTAGATATTTCACTACACACATGTTACAGAATGATCAAACCAGGGTATTGCATTTATCTGTCACCTCACTTATCATTTCTTTGTGGTGAGAACATTCAAAAGCCTCTTTCCTGGTTATTTTGTAATACACACTATTTTACCGTTAAACATCTTTCCCCTACTGTTTGGAACACCAGAACTTATTCCTCCTGCCTGTCACTTTACACCCACTGACCGACCTCGCCCCATCATCTCCTCCCCATTCTCCTTCGCAGTGTCTGGAAACCCCTGTTCTACTCTCTGCTTCCAAGACACCCACTGTTTTGCTTTGTTTTGTTTTGAGCTCCCACATATAAATGAGATCATGTGGTATTTGTCCTTCTGTGCCTAGCTTGTTCCACTTGTCCTCCAGGTCCATCCATGTTGTCACAAATAACAGGACACCATTCTTTTTGTGGTTAAATAGTATTTCATTCTGTGTGTATGTACCATATTTTCTTTATTTATTCATTATTGGATACTTTGAGTCTATATCTTGGCTATTGTAAATAATGCTGCAATAAACATGAGAGTGCAGCTATCTCTTTGGCATACTTATTTCACTTCCTTTGGATATATACCCAGTAGTGGGATTGCTGGATTGTGTAATAGTGTAATTTTTACCTTTTGAGTACCTTCCATGCAGTTTTCCACAGTAGCTGTACTAACTGTTTCTTGATATGGATGATGGTTATATGGGTATACAAGGGGGACCCAAATAAGCCAGAATTATCTTTTGGAGGCTGGGCCCCTTATAGTGCAGGCTTTCCCCATTAGGTGAGCGTTCTGGGAACCCATCGGCATCAGCGTACCAGCTAGTGTTGTTGTGAGAGGCTGTGTTCAGCGTCATGGAATTTTTTTCTCTTTGGAGATTATTTCAATGTGTTTGCCTGTTTCATGATGGGTGAGTTACCAGCACATCTGCTCAGCACACTAAGTGTTCAGCAGTTCTTGACCAAAAATGGCATGGCCCCGCAGCCTCACCCTCCCTATTCACCTGATCTCATCCCGAATGACGAAAAATGTCCCCAAAGGAAAAGAAATGTTTTGCTGATGTGGAAGAAGTAAAATACAAAACAGCAGAAACACTAAAAGGCATCAAAATGAACAAGTTCAGAAGTTGTTTTGAGCAGTTGAAAAAGTGTCTTGATTGGTGTATTGCATCAAACAGAGTATTCTGGAAGTGACCGAAGTTTCAACATGTAAGAATAAATACACAATTTTTATAAATAAATTCCGGTCTTTTGGGGTCCCCCCCTTGTATGTTTGCTTTCTGAAAATTCACCAAGCTGAATCCTTTAGGTTTGTATGTTTTTCTTTATATATAATGCAATAATTAAGTTTATTTTTAAATAGAGAAAAAAATATACTTTATCAGATATGTGATTTACAAAAAATATACAATGACAAATAATGTTGGGCAGGTAAGTGAGTGGGTGGGTGGTGGATGGCTGATGGGTAGGTGGGTGAGTGGGTGGGAAGATGACTGATGGTCGGGTGAATAGGTGACTGGGTGTGTGGATGGTTGGCGGGTGGGTAGGTGAGTGGGTGGGTGGATGGGTACATGGGTGAGTGGATGGTTGATGGGTGGGTGAATAGGTGACTGGGTGTGTGGGCGGATGGGTAGATGGGTGAGTGGGTGGGTACATGGCTGATGGGTGGGTAAATGAGTGGGTGGGTGGATGACTGATGGGTGGGTGGGTGAGTGGGTGGGTAGATGGATGGATGGCTGATGGGTGGATGGACAGACTGCTCAATGGACAATGGGCAGACTCTTATCTAGGCAAAGGTAGCTGCTGTGGCCTGAAATTCCCTCCCCACAGGGCATACTGGCCATGCCAGCTTATGTTCCAACAGGGACAAGGACAAGAAGAGCCACGGGCATGACTGAGCTTCAGCAGGACATACCAGTGGCATCACCAGAAAGTCTCCAAGCCTTGATATCTTGGTCCTGGCCAGCACTGATGACCAGCTGGAAGCTGTCCACATACAGGATGTCTGCCACACTGTCCAGATGACCCTTCCAAGTAATCAGGAGTGGGGGGGGACCAGGGAGATGGTCTGGCCATCCACAACCTACAGGGAACAGCACAGGAGAACTCCTTACACCAAGACCACACCCAGGCTCCTCAGAGGCCCCCAGGACTGAGGCTGCAGAGCCTGGTTGGAAGGGTCCCAGGAATTCTGCACACATCCCCCATTAACTCGCTCGTGGCCTTAAGCAGGCCCTGGTGTGTCTCTACCCCTCACTGGCCCCTTAGGCAAAGCTATTGCAGAGCATCTGCATGTTGTGCTATTGTTCACCAAGTGCCTCCATACAGGTTGTTCCACTGGAACCTCACAACCTTGTAGGACGCATATTATCGCACTGTCTTCTAAGAAGAGAAGTGAAAGCCAGAGATGTTCAGTAACCGACCCAAGGCCACATGGCTAGAAAGTGACAGGGCCAGGACAGAGCCTCGGCCTTCTACAGTTTTTCAACTGGACATTGGGAGAAAAATAGGGTGAGCAAGGGGTGATATGTCACATTACACTAGGAGAGAATGAAACTTTATTGAACTGGAAAATGAGTGGAAAAAAACCAGGAAATACCACAAGATTAATAAAGGGGAACTTAACCATATTCGAGTATGGAAACCATATTCGAGTATGGAATAATACAAACTTGAAATAAAGCAATGGAAGACAACAGAGGGTGAGAAACCAACCCAAATGTATTAAAACTCTGGTGTATGACAGGAGTGGTAATACAATAAACAGCTTGACTCAATGCACAGTACTGGCATACCTGCTGAACAATCCAGAGAAACCCAAGTCATTATCTTACATCTTACAACTAAACAAATACAAGCAGCACTGGAGATTGATGTTAATGAAATAATAAAACATCTAAAAGAAAGAATGAACAAATGTTTATCTTATATCTGAATAAGAACATGATAGGCAATGGGAAAATATCACAATAGGAAGAAAAATTGAATTGACCAACAAAAAAAATGTATTATAATTTTTAAATCATCATAAATAAATTAACAAGGAAATAACAAATCATGGGAGTGGGAGATATTTGCAATACATACAATAGGTGATGAGTTAATCTTTTAATATGTTTTAAGGGATTATATATTATAATACATTTAAGTGATTTATACCATTATAAATGGTTACCATAATAGAAAGGTAGGCAAAGGACATGAAGAGGCGATTTACAGGATCACACAGGAGTAGTAAAGTAAGGAAATATAGATAAATCTCACTTGGTCATAGTGTATAATCCTTTTCATGTGTTGCTGGCTTTAATTTGCTAAAATTTTAAAGATTTTGCATCTAAATTCATCAAAAACTTGGTCTGTAGTTTTATTTTCTTGTGATACCTTTGGTTTTGATATCAAGGTACACAAGGCTCATAGAAAACTCTCTGAGAAGTTTGTGAAGAATTGGCATTAATTCTTTAAATATTTGGTAGAATTTACCAGCAAAACTATCTGAACCTGAACTTTTCTCTGTGGTAAATTTTATTTACTAATTTAATCTCCTTACTTGTTATATTTAGATTTTCTACTTCTTTTTTATTTTATTTTATTTTTATTTTAAAGTCGTGGGGTACAAGTCAGTATTAGGTATACAAATGATCATTGTGTAGGTAAAAGTTTGGGCCTCACTTTGGTCCCCACTTCTACTTCTTCTTGAGTCCGTTTTAGTAGTTTGTGTCTTTCTAAGATTTTGTCCATTTTCCCATTTTTTTTATAATGAAAAAGTAGAAACTGTCCTAAGATCTGACAATAGGTAACAAGTTAAATAAATGGGCCAAGCATAGTGGTTCATGCCTGCAATCCCAGCGCTTTGGGAGACTGAGGCAGGAGGATTGCCTGAGCCAGGAGTTCAAAACCAGTCTAGGCAATATAGTGAGACTTCGTCCCTACAAAAAATGAGCTAGTGTGGTGGTGCATACCTGTAGTTACAGCTACTTAGGAGGCTGATGCAGAAGTGATCACTGCACTCAAAAATTTTAAAAATTAAAAATAAATAAATAAATTATTGCAACTCCATAAAGTAAATATCTATAACTCTATAAAGTGAAATATTACTTAATTTAGAAATTCTGAATTTCAAGAGTATTTGATATCCCTAAAATACAAGGATTGTTCAACATACACAAATCTATAACTGTGATATACTACATTAACAAAATGAAAGAAAAAAGACGTGATGATCTCAATAGATGCAGAAAAAGTACTTGATAAAAATTCAACATCCCTTCATAATAAAAATTCTCAAGGATCAGGTATAGACAGAATGTTCCTCCACACAATAAAGGCCATATATGACAAACCCATAGCTAATAATGAAAAGTTTTTTCCTCTAAGTTCAGGAATAAGACAAGGATGCCCATTCTCACCACTTGTTTTCAGCATAGTACTAAAAGTCCTACCTAGAGCAATTCAGCAAGAGAAAGAAGTAAAAGGTATACAAATAGGAAAGGAAGAAGTGAAGTTGTCTCTGTTTGCTAGTGAAATGATCCGAAAATCCTAAAGACTCCACCCAAATATTGTTAAAACTGATAAATTCAATAAAGTTTCAGAATACAAAATAAAAAATCAATAGTGTTTCTATATACCAATAACAAACTATCTGAAAATTAAATTAAGAAAATAATTTCAGCTGGGCTTGGTGGCTCAGCCGGTAATCCTGCGCTTTTGGGAGGCTGAGGTGAGTGGATTGCCTGAGCCCGTGGGTTCAAGACCCACCTGGGCAACTTGGCGAGACCTCATCTCTACAATAAAAAAAAAAAAAATTAGCCGGGCGTGGTAGCGCGCGCCTGTAGTTCCAGCTACTTGGAAGGCTGAGGTGGAAGGATCGCCAGAGCCCAGCAGGTCGAGGCTGCGGTGGCCAGGAGCGGCCACTGCACTCCAGTCTGGGCGAGAGTGAGACTCCAACTCAAAAAAAAAAGAAAAGAAAAGAAAAGAAAATAATCTCATTTACAAAAGTAATAGAAAATAAAATATTTAAGAGCAAATTTAACTGAAGAGATAAAAGACCTGTACACTGAAAGCTATGAAATACTAATAAAAGAAACTGAAAACACAAATAAATGGAAAGGTATCTTGTGCTCATAATTTAGAGGAATTAATATTGTTAAAATATCCATACTCGTGCAGTTGAGAAGATGGCAGCCAGCCAGTCAGGCCATGCAAGTCCCAGCATGAATGAGTGAGTGTATGGAAAATGTTTGTGTGCATGCTGGTGAGTGAGTGAATGTGTGAGTGGCTGAATGAGTGAGGGCTTGGGAGCTAGTGGCCAGGGCTCTCCTGGTGCAGCGGCTGGTGCTGCAGCAGCTCAGCTGGGACCCCAGCAATTTCTGGGACACAGAAGCTGAGCGCCTTTTTTTTTTCTTTTTTTAAATCAACAAAATCCTTCCTAGGAAGAGAATGCTGGGAGAGACTGACTAAGTGGGGGCTCGTGAGCAAGTGACCAGGGCCCTCCTGGTGCAGCAGCTGGTGCTGCAGCTTCTCTGCTTGGTTCCTGGTACTTCCCAGGTCAAAGAAGCCGAGCGCCATTTTTTTTTTACATGGACAAAAGTTTTCCTGCAAAGAAGCCATGGGGAGAGACTACCAGCTACAGGCTCTGCCTCCTCACTGTAGCAGAGGAGACTGACAGCTCCAGGCGTTGTCTCACCACCTCAGCGCTGGGCGGAACACTGGCAGCAGGGGCTGCAGAGGGAGCCCAGAGGCAAAGAAAGTCCCACCAGACAGGACAAGAGAGGTATCCCAGCACCATCTTGAAGGTGAGACAGGAAAGTGCCCTGACATACTCACCACAGAGCAACAGACCCAATCTCTGTGACTGGCAGATCAACTACTCAGGGGTTGATCATGACCCAGAGGCAATATCCAGGAAGCACAAACTTCGGAGGGACCTGATGAGTGCTGAGTCCCAGGCGCCCGACCTCCTACCCTAATCCAGTTGTGGGACAAAGGGTGTGGCCAGAAAAGGATGAGGAAGAACTCCAAAGAGATTTGTGGTGAGTCTGGGGGACCCAAACCCCCTCCTCCCCAGCAATCCTCTAAACATCAGACCCACACACAGCTGGGCCACGATTGAGAGGGACAAACCCAAGTGGATCCTGAACGTCAGTCACAACAGAACAACACTCGGCTGGGGTAACCCCCTGTGAGTACATACCTGGGGAAGAAACAATCCCACACCTCCCCACCAGAGGGAATCTCCCTGACCATAAAAGAGTGGGAGGAGAGAACTGCAGCCCCACCCACCCCCACTGCCCCTCCTCCTTCCCTGCTCTAACCCTGGGGAGAGAGTGAAAGAGGTGGAAGCTCTGCAGGTGAGAGCAGATGGGAGGAACAATTACAGAACCTGCCACAAGAGGACAGGGTTTTTTTTTCTTTTTAAAATTTTTTTATAATTAAAAAAAATTTTTTTCGCCTGTTTGTTAGTTCATCTTTTTAAAAATATTTTTCCTTTGTGCATGAATGTGTATGTGAGGGTTTAATCTGCAGCCCTCCTTTTTCACTTTTCTTTTTCTTTCTTCTTTTATGTTTTCTGTTTATGTGAGTTTGTGAATGATTGAGTGTTCACCTTTCAGTTTTTTCATTGTTGTTGGTTTGTTTTTTGCTCTTTTGTTCTTCTCTTTATTTTACTTTATTTTTTTAGTTTAAGGTGTGTGTCAATATATGTGTGAGGGTTCAATCTGAATTCCTTTGTTTTTTGGGTTTTTTTGGTTGTTTTCCAGTCTTTCTCTTTTTCTTCTCCATTCATTTTGTGCTAGGTGTGTGTGTGTGTGTGTGTGTGTGTGTGTGTGTGTTTAGTTTTCCTGGGGTTTTTTTGTTGTTGTAGTTTGTTTTATTTCACTTCATTATTATTTCAGTTTGTTTTGGTGTGTGTGTTTGTGTGTGTGTGTGTGTGTGTGTGTGTGTTTGTGCGCACGCACACACACTCAATTGTTTTTTGTTTTGGTTTCTGCTTTCATTGTTCTGTGTTTTTAAAAAAATTCTGGTCTATCTTATTTCATTCTATTTTTTTTCTGTGCTCTTCATTGCTGTCACTGTATTTTGGACTCA